TGTTCAGTAATGGAAAACAAGTTCCAGAGGTATGCACTTCTATCAGTAATAGACTTTTTGATCAAAATGTTTCCGTGCGATTAGCTCTATGTCGTGTTGTATCTAATTGGATGTTAAACTTACGTGATAGATATTCTTATTTTCCAAAACTCATTCCTTTGATTTTGACAGCGTAAGTTTTGTACATTTCTATAAACATTGATACACATTGAAACAAAATATTTCCTATCAGAGTAAGTTAAATAACATTTTTTTTCCAGTCAAGTTGATGATCATCTACCAAACCGCGAGGAAGCTGAACGTCTTTGGGATGAAATTGGAAAACAGTATATTAATGAGAATGAAGTACAGCTCAAGGAAAAATTAGATTTTTTACCCGATAATTTAGATCACTATCCTCCTAATGGTTAGTATATTTTTCATTTAAAACTATTATTATACTTAAATCAATTAATAAAAGGTTTTAATAGATAATTTAATAATATAAATGTTTATGTTTCAGTTAAAAGACCGAATTTGGGTTGCCGTACATTAGTTACTCGAGAAGTATTAAAATTACTCCCAGTTATAATAAGGGAACTAGATGATTGGGTAAATACTTTCTGTTTACTTGTGTCATAATAAAAATTATTTATATATTTACTTAACCCATGTTGTGCTCTATCATATAGTTAAATAATTATATTTCTAATTAAATAGTCTAATTATATAGTTAACTAATTTTACAAAACTTTAGAAAGAAGATATTAGTATTAAATCGGGTCAATTGTTATGTGTGGTTGCATTGAATGCTGAGAATTCTATTATTCAACATTTAAATCAATTATTGACTGCCATGACTAAATGTTGTCGTCAACCAAATCATGTTGCATCAAATCATGTGAGAATTTTATAATAAGTAATACTTAAATTAATAAATATTACTGAATATTAATATTAAGGTTCGAAGAGCTGCTGAAATTATGAGTTATTTCATATCGCCAAGTATTTATTTGAAATTTTTAATTCCTACCATGAGTGATACTGAACCACATGCAGGTCATTTGATAATTTTATCTGGACTATTAAAAAATGTCAATTCAGTTGAATTATCTACACATGTGAACTCTATCATTACTTTCTTGGAAAAACCAGAAATATGTGAAGTATATGATCCTCTATTCAAAAAATATTTACTTCAAGTAATTGAGTATGTATTAGTTGCTTGTGAATCAGAATGCCGAGAATTTTCTTACGAGTTGTTTAAAATTTACATCACTGTACAAAGTACAACTTTGGATGAATTCGACAACAACTGTAAGTATTATTTTTATAAATAAGAAAAAGTACCTAGTGATTAATATAAATATTATTATGTTACAAGTTACTACTAAATATTTAATTTAAGTCATTCGAATTTTCCTATACCTAGTATAAAATATATAATTCTTTTAACACACTTTGTTCTTACGTAATTTTAAATCATCAATATTTTTCTTAATTAATTATAAATTGTATTGTCATAATTTTAATTTGATTTTATCTTAAATTATTTAAAATTTGTAATCATTAAAAGTAATAGTATTTCCATTTCAGATTCTTCTAAATCAGTGGTCGGCAACCTTTTTGCACTCCTGAGCCACATTAATAAATTAAAAAGATTTCGCAGGCCAGACAAAAATAATAATAATTTAAAAAAAACCCAACGTTCAATTATATTTATACAATATACAATATGATTATTTTTAATATTCAATTAAACTTTGTCGTTGTAGAATTTAAGGCGGGCCATATACAATGGACACGTGGGCTGCCGGTTGCCAACCACTTTTCTAGATTGATACCAACATTGGACTATTATTGATATAATTTATTGTTTTTATTTTAATAATACTAAAAATTTTAAATATTATACTATTTTAGTATATTTACATACTAATTTTTAAAATGTAAATATTTTATTTATTTTTTAAATTGAGGTATGTTTGTTTTCAGTTATATTTAAAAAGTTAATCAATATGTGTGAACCAAAAACAAAAGAGCAACTTTTTAAGACACACGGTGAAAAATTGCTAAATGAACTTAATGATAATTGTGATTCATGGGTAGTGCATTCACCAGGAAGAGAAGTTCTTGACAAAATTGCAGTAGATGCTGGTAATTAACACTACAATTGAAAGTACATATTTTATTTTGCTCTGTACCAATATAATATCACAACTAATTTATTTTTAGAACATGTAGTTTTAAGCTGCTATGAAGTATATCGACAGATTCTTACAAAAACATTATACAATCTTGATAAGGATCCAAAATTTCTTATGAAAATGTTGATCAATATAAATACATGCGTGGATAAGGATATTTTCAATGATAAACAACTATGGCAAATTCTTTCTGGTAAAATGTCATTATTAAAAGCAGGAAATGGTACTTATATACATTTAATTTGATTAATTTCTAGGTATTGTATTTCCTATTCTAACATGGAGACCTGGTAAAACTGCTGAAAGTTTACGTGCGGCTTCTTGCCTGTGTGCACAAATTATAAATAAAAAGTTTACTTGTTTTGATGAAATAATGTTGAATCTAGTAAGTATATATTTTGACCCATAATGTACTATACTAGACTATACTTTGGAATTTCAATTGTTATTAGAGTTTTCCAATATTTTTGGCCCTTGCTGATGATAACCACTGCAAGACTCGTGCATATGCATTAGATACTTTACATTCTTTAGTTTGTGCTGCCAAAAATTTAGATAAAATTGATGCAGACACAATAAACAATATCACAAGAGGTATAGTAATAAATAAGATGCATGTAAGTTGAAAACATTAATGTATGATGTAAATATTTAGTTGCACTAGCTCGTTTGAATGATAATCCAGGGAATACACGTTTCAAAGCTATTAATCTGATCAAAGCAACATACACCCAACCTCTTCCTAATGATTATATGATGCATTATGAAACTCATGTAACACAGTTGTATAAAACTTTGATAATATTTTTAGACGATCAAGATATACAGCAATCTATACTTGGTAATAATTATTGATATATTTAAATAATAATGATACATTAGAGAATGGATTTTATTGTAATTATAAAACTTAAATATCATGTACTTATTCTCATTGAAATAATATGTGATCAATTATTTGTTGATTAAAATTGAATAAAATTGTAGTATGACACTTAACAAAAAAAAAAAACAGTAAGGCTTCTAAATATATTACATTATTAAATGCTAATCTTCTAATTGATTGAAGCAATGCAAGACTAAATAATATTATCTTAGATAAAAAAAATGTTAAGTTGCAAAGATTTACTGTAAAATGTTCCCATATTAAGTGGTGTGAGATTTGTCACCACAAAGTTTCTGTGGGATTTTAACCTTGAAGAATAAATCTAATTTTTTTCAGATACCTAAGCAGGTTTCCTATAGTTAAAATTCTTTCTATGTGACTTAAAGTTTTTCTGATTTATCTTTTGCTTCAATAATGTATACATTTTCTGTTATTTGTGACATTTGCAATATTAAACTTTTCCATGACTTTGTAATATGATAACCATTAAGATAATATTTGTTCTCATAGATGTGTGGTAGTGGAACAAAAGTTTAATAGTTAAACAAAAATACAATTTTGAAACACACCAGAAAAAATCAAATTTACAAATGTATTTACACCCACATATGTAAAATTACATTAGTTCCAATTTAGCAGATTTTTTCTGGAATTGTTTAACTATCAAATGATATATTTTATCTTATTTAATATTGTGATTTCTAATTTCTAAATTTTTTTTTACCTTTAGATTTATTGAAAGAGCTTTCATGGATGAAACCTGATATTCTCATTAAACATATTAATGTGAATGTGTTTTCACATAAACACTTTGCTCAAAATTTAATGGATTTTTTGTCTGAAAATCTCAGTCAAATTACACTTGCCACTAGCACAAAATAGAATTGTCGATTATTATCTATGTTTATGTTGTTATATACGTTATGCACTATAAATTATTACTAATGTTATCTAATATTCATATGTTTTTTTATAACTGATATTATTGTCAAAGAAGCTAAATTATTTAAAATGTATATGATTTTTTAAAAAATGGATGAAGTAAATAAAGTATAAAAGTTCTGAAAATACAGTTTATTATTTCATATGCATACTATTTGGCATATTTTAGCATATTTGTGTTTAAATTATGCATATATTCAAATTCTGATTTTTGGAATTTTTCAGTGTAGTTAAATACAATATTTTGGTGTACTTAGATTTTTCACAAAATTTAAGGATTATCCTGTGGTGATATCAACTTTTGTTTTTCAAATGACAACCTATATGTTTTAAAGCACAAAATGTGATTCTGATAATTTTTCTGATTGATTTGTTTTATTGTAATCGAAATTTGATCAAAAACTTCCTTAGTTATTCTTCTTTACATACTAAGAAATAAGGATGGTAATATATTAAATACTAAATACTTTGTGAATGGATATGAGCTCAATAATTATAATTCGTTTAGGTAGTAATTATTGACGAATATCTTATGTTGCATACCGAATTATAATTATGGAGCTCATATCCATTTTACCAAGCATTGTAGTGTAAGTCTATCTATTTTCCTTATTCCTTAGTACGTAAAGAAGAATAACTAAAAGTTTTTGTTAAAATTTTCAATTACAATACGTCAACATATTCTGAATCACATTTTGTGCTTTAAAACATATAGGTTGTCATTCGAAAAACAAAAGGTTACTCTTTGTTATGAGTAAAAATAGGTGGTGGTGATAAGTACTTATGAAGATATTTCTTAAAAAATTTAAGTTTAGGCCGCCATTGATTCCAAACATAAGTTAGCAGTTAAGTGGTAATGAATGGTTTGAACATGGCGGCCCAGACAAGTCGACAGCCAAGTTATTCCAAGACATTAAACAGTCATGAATGAGGGAATTTATTGAGAGTTGCAGCTTGACGTTGAACTTGTTTAATAGTTAATGTAGTGTTGATTGATTTGTTTTGGTTTATTTTTTTTAAAAATGATAGTATACAAAAATTTTCATAGTCAAAATTATAAGTTACAATCTCTTCACCCAAACAAGTTACATGAAAAATTATACTTGGATAACATAAATTACACAATTAACAGTTTTGACTACTTTTTATGCATAATGACACAACTGATACATTTGTGTAAAAAGTTTTTATTATTGATACTCAGTTTGCACACCCGCCTTGAATTACTGAAAATTAACCGAATTTAGATTCATTTATTTAATTTTTAAATAAAATATAATAAATGTACAAATTCAGAAATCAACTTAAATATGAATACAAAATGTATCAAATAATATTAACTTGTTTTATTTTAACTATTAGTTATTTTTGGATCGCAATACAATTTGTCTGAACACCAGCTTTTGTAATTACGTGAACTTTGAGGTCATAAGCACTTGCCTTATTTTTGACTACCTCAATGTCATCAGGATTTTTGTTCAATATAACTGTCAATACATCATCATTACCAGTATAAAACTCAGTTAAATGTGTATTGAATACTTCCCAAAATTCCGGAGCCATCCGTTCATTATCATCAGTATTGTCGTCTTCTTTAAATGTAATTAACTCAACGTTACGATGAAATTCTTTATCTTTTTCTAATTTATGAATTTCACCATGTATCGTTTCATTTTGAGGTTCAAGTTTCAATGCAATTTGAAGTTTTTTCTTCGCTTCTGTAAAATCTTTTAAAAGGCGTAGTGCTTTTCCCCAGTTGAAAAATAATTTTGCTGAGTGTTTAGAAAATCTTTCTGAATATTTCAATGCTTCTATGCCCATACGGCATACTTTATTAAAAGCGCATTGTTTTAAGTAGCACAAACTTAAATTTGTATAAAGCTTATTTAAATATTTCATCATTTCTATTTCTTCATTGTCATTTTTGCATCCAGCTATATGCAGTAGTTCCAGTGCCCGATTATATTTAAATACAGCTTTATCCATATTTTTAAGTTTAAATTGTTCATTAGCTTCAAGATGCAATTTTTTAACTTGTGCAAGATTTTTATTAAATACATCAGGATCACGATTTTCTCTATCGAAGTTTAATATACTTTCAGGTGACAAATAGGAAACAAGATGGACATCAAACAGAATAGTTGCGTTTGGTGGTATGCGAGGTGGGCAACCAAGTTCTCTATAGGCCAATTCTGGCTTTACTATAAACCTTGCGTTTTCACCAATAGTCATTGTTTTTATACCGATTTCTAATCCCGGTAAGAGTTCACCATTACCCAACGTAAAACGTTTAGGTTTTCTGCCTTGAAGATATGTCACATCAAATGGTTCTTGAAGGTTAGATATATAAGCAATATAATGTATCAAAACTACATAGTTTTCTGGTACAACTTGACCGATTCCTGCAATACAAACAAAATTAAAATTGTAAATTATAATGTATACAATTAAAACTATTTAATATATAGGAATTCACCACATGCTCTGCTAAAAAATATTATCAATTTAACATTTTAAAATAAGGGTACCATATGTTACTGCCTTTTATTAAGATCATCTTAGTGTTGCAGTTAAAAAAAGTTGAAGAATCATGTATGTAGACGGTAATAGTCTAAAAAGGACATCAAGACCATGCCTCGTCTTAGTCTTACAAATGTACAACATTTAAATTTGCGTTCAACATATTTTGTGTTAGGAGTGAATTGACCTATTACTAATCTCAAAATGTAAGAATATTATCCAGGATAACTTTAGGCTTTTATAAGTTATAAATTATAATTTATATATTATATACTATTTTAATTTTAAAGTGAGTTATAAGTTTTTAAATATGTATTATTGCACAGGGTATACTATTTTAAAATGCATTCAACTCATTTTAATATTAAAATACCAATAAAAGTCTATGATGTGCAATAAATGATTTTTCGCCTTTAGGTTTAATAATAGGTCAGTTGACTCTAATATTTAAGCAAACAACCCAAAATAGTTCTACTGATTTTCTACGTTGTATGTTTGTAAGATAGATGCCATAGGCGCCATTACAACAAAGGGTAGCAATTGCTATCCTGCCTCCCAATTTTATCCACCAACTACTCCATGGCATCATTAAACTACACGCAATTGAATTAAAAATAATATTAAAAATGCTTTACTTCGAATTAAATCCCTGACAGAGGCAACAGATTATATTTTAAAATTGTTTCATATTTTTAAAGCTTATAAAGATTTTAACAGTACAAGTAAGTTTGTGTAAAATCATTATTTAATTAGGTATTTAAAATGAAAATACTAGGCACAAAGCCACCAACATAATATTATGATATAAGATTGGTAAAACATAAATATTCCAATAATTCATGTTCAATTGCCACCTAAATTGATATGAAATGTAAAATATGATAGAACTATAGTACTATAAGTTTAGTACTTTCTGGAAAATTGTAAGTTATTTTTATTTTTACATTTAAATTTAAATTTAACATGTATATTGTTTTGATCATTTTTAATCAGATTAAAATTAATAATCAGTAACAAAAATCAAAAAAAAATCGTACTTACCCGGCTCCAGTAATATTTTTAACACCTTGCGATCACCAGTAAGATCTATGTGGTTTGTATCAGTGATGAGATGGTTAAAAGACTCCAGATTGTCACCTTCCTCTCCGATCATATCGAAGTTGATAAACTCAGCCAGCTCGGCTTCATCATAAGAAAACGTTTCATTAACGTTTTCTTCGGGTCCGTTATCCACCGTAAAATAGAATCCGTCCTGTTTTTCCAGAATTTCTTCTGACGCAGTCTTGAGTATGTCAAGAACATTGGGCGGAATCCCGTCATTGTCGTCGGCCATCGTGAACGATCCGGACAGATTGCACGTTTAGTCGTTTAGTCTTGAGTGACGAGTGTCGACTGACAGAACGTGTTATTATAGTCAACTATGACATTTTAATCATGAATCGGACCATCTGAAACTGGTAAATTAAAAAAAAAAAAATGAATTGCAGCTTTACTTGAAACGGGAATTTTTATGGGAATTTCCGACCATCCATACACGGAATTAGATATTGAATTCCAATTACATATTATATTTCTATACAAATGAAATACACTACTAATTTAACTATAGTTTAAGTGAGCAGATAATTATAGAAATATAGATACCTGCAGTGCACACCGTAAACTCTAACAATATTTGAATTGCATAACGCACCATACTCACGTGTTTGGCGTGTTCAACGTTGTCATCCTGTGTTAATGAGAAATGAGAAAATGATAGACGGTTGTATATAAAAAAAATAATAATATGAAATTGTACTCAGACAAAATGCTTACATGTCAAATGTCAAATTCCACTGTTCAATAGATTTAAAAATAATATTATGTATAATTTTATTTATAATATGTGATTTGGGAATTATGTTCATTTCTTGAATGTCTTTATTCTTCATAAAACTTGATGATAAAGGATACATTTATAAACCCTCCTACTAAAATATATTATGTTGTATGATAATAATATAATAATATAATTTCATGTTAAATATGTTCAAACCATAATAGTCAATTGACCAGGGGTATTCAACCTTTTTAGTTGATGGGCTGTAAATCGTAGACTTTTAAAATTCAGTTAATTATTATTATTGATAATAATAACATATAACTTAAACATTTACCCAGCTTTACAATTTCAATCACAAATTTAATTATGGTTTAATTTTATAAGTTAACACATTATTATTTTTTTCAAATGTAGGTAACGATGTCCACTGTCCAGAGAATTTTAAAAAACAGTTATTTTACATCATAGATATATAAATATATTTATATGTTGATGCTTACATTGATAATATCATATATTTTACCGATACAATCAATAAATAACTGATAAGAATTAAGACCGGGATTACCAAGACGTAATGCTTTAATAAGTATATTTATAAAAATTAATGATTAAGATTTATGAGTTATGAGTGTTATGACTTATGAGTTATGACAATGCTTTACATTATAGTATTCCTCTATACGGGATCTAAACTTTAATTTCCATGTTCATAACATATACTTTATAGTGACTTTATCTTACTTAGATGATACACAATTATGATTTATAACATAATGTATTTATAATCTAAGCAGTAAGGGGTTGTAAGCACTAAGCACTATGCATGCTCATTGCTTATTGTTCATTTCTATGAATTATGATTTAATGATTTAATGTTTTAATCATGTTCTACATTCTACAATCACAGAATATACTGTAGATAAAAAAATTATAGTTTTAGTGATAACCAGACGGTGATAAATACTATTAACCTTAAAAACGTTCATGTGACAACATAATATAAAGTATAAACACTACATGTGTTACCTATTGTATTTCATTCATTATGATTATGTGTACTTACGTGATTTTATTTTATGTATAAGTATTAAGTAAGACACTAAGTTTATATTTTTCATACTTAATTGCTACTTATTAGGGATTTTTATTGTATTGACTCCAAAGAATGGAGGACATTCATGCATTGTTAAACAAGAAAGCGGCGCTGGATATAGCAGCCCAACAAAGCGTTTCTGTAACTAAGGTATTAGACCCAGAAATTGATTTGGGTACACTTCTATGTTTCGATTCAAATGATTTTGACACTCAACAACTCAGGTACGACAGTTAACAATGAAATATTAACTTATTATGTTATTGTGTGTATATCATTTAATATGAATCCCGTTTACTGTTCATAGATCAGATCAAGAGAAATACTTAACAAGTGAAACTAGGAATAATGTGCAATTATTGATTAACAAATTATTTGAATTGCCTATGAAAAATGAAGATGGTTACATGTATGTAGATTTACCAGAACCTAGATATAATTTACCCCGTGAAAAACCATTACCAACACCTAAACCACTCACTAAATGGCAGAAGTTTGCCATTGAAAAGGGAATCAAGAAAACTCCTAAACCAAAAGCAACTTGGGATGAAATTCTACAGGTGCGTACTTTTTTTAAAATTAGTGTAAAGTGTAGTAGTTCCAATGCCAGGTTATAATCTATATTAACTATACCTAAATCAACTTATTCTACATTAGCCATTTAATAATTTTATTTTTTTTGTATGTCAGTAAGCTGTTTCATAGATAGTAAATCACATTTTATGAACTTTTTTTCTTGATACTGTAAAAACATTTCATCATTAAGGCCATATTTTATTATTTAGAAGTTTACTAACAATAATTTATAAGTTTTTGGCTATAATATTTTGCCTAGGTGTATTAAAGATTCATAATACTTTTTTTAAACTTCAAATTATAAAAATATTAAATTATTAATTTATGATTGTTTATTTTAATTAGCATTTCATAAATTAATTTTATCTGAATATTTTGCCGTCCCAAAGCACGTGACCCTCTCCCATAAAATTGGTCCTAGGTATATTGTTGATTTATTTTTACCAAATAACTATAACTAATACATATTCCTTAACTATTAAATCTATGTTTATTTAATTTCGGCGTATTAGAAATGGATACCAACTTATGGTTACAAAAAAGCTGCAGCAGACAAAGAAAAAGATTGGATATTGGAAGTGCCTGGTAATGCTGCAGATCCAAATATTGATTTATTCGCTCAAAAACGAGAAGCAAAGAAAGAACGTGTTGCTAAAAATGAATATCAAAGATTACGTAATATAGCTGCTTCACGTAAGATAAAAGTTCCTGCTGTTGGATTACCACCTTTAGAAGGAACATTACATTCAAACCAGGTAAAATTGTATTAATATTTATAATTTGATTGCGATTAATAACTAACTGAACATTTTTAATAGTTGAAAACGGCTGTCGATGTAGCTAAAATATCAACTGCATCTGTTGGTAAATTCCAGCCAAAAATAAGCAAAGAGGTGGTGTCTGCTAAAAAAAATATACCTGGATTAAAGAAAGAAAAAATCCCAGCCAAGGTATGTTGATAACCATGTAATTACTATGGTTAAGTTATGTTTCTAACAATTTTTTTTTTTTGCAGAGTATGAAAGATGAAAAATCAAGCAGTCTTCAAATATTAGAATCAATTAATAACAAAAAACCAAAATTCAATTTAGAAAAAGCTGCTAATAAAGCTATTCATGCAGAAGAAGTCGAGTAAATATAGTTATAAAAACCTTTTTTTAAAAAATATTTTCTATAAATATGCATTTCTTAGGAGACACAGGGAGAAAAAAGAAGGAGGTGATAAAAAGAAAGGAGGACGTTCGCGCAGCAAAGGATCGTTTAAAAGACCTACTGCCAATACTGGCAAGCGTTTAGGAAAACAAAAAGGTGGTCGTAAACGTAGATAATTTAATGATTTTTTTTTAATTTGAATTTTGTATTTGTTAACTTTATTAAAAAAATACAAGTATTTTTGACCCTTGTATGGTTTTTATTTTTACTTGTTTGCATTTAACAATTCTAAATATTATATTATCCACTTAATATTATGGTAGCTATTAAAAGTATTTAAAATTCACCATTTTGTAAGGACATTTATAATGGCAATGTTTAAGGTATATTTCGACTAAACTGATCAATTCTCATTTCATCTTACCAATCAATCAAATTATGCGATTTTGATATTCAGAACTGATTTGAACATTTTGGTATGTTTACTTTGGGTGTTCAAACGACTTTTTCTATTTACTAATCTGAAGAAATTTTATTAAAGTGTAAGTCCTAATTTGTGTACAGTTTTGGTATAGTATAATCTAAAAAAGGCAATACCATACATCAAAATAGATTTCCAAGTCTTAATTGTGTAATTAAGTGAAATAGTATTATTTATGCATATGACATATTTTTCGCAATGCTAAATTAACTAGTTTATTATACTGACATTGTGTCAACAGTTAGTAAAAGGATTCAGATTTACACAATGTAAATTTACATTAGAAAAGCTTTAAACAGTGTAGGTCTGTCTGCTTTGCTCAAAAACTAGAATATAGAGGTATTTCTGGACCAACAAACAACTGTACAAGTGCTTTAAATTATATATAATTGATAGATCTTAACAAATAAAATTAGGTTATCATATCTTAACGAGTGTTAAGTGTGGACATCACATCCAGTATTCCACAGACTGGACATATTGCCTGTACTTTTTTTTTATTATTTGTGAATAACGTTACCAATATCTTTAAATATTGTAAAAGTTTTAATTTTTGATGATCTAAAACTGTATTTGCCAATTTACTCGTCTGATCGTTCTATTGTATTACAATCTGACATGAATCAATCCTAAATCCTAATAATAAAACATCTCATTTAATGAGTATTAGCATAGAATATAACAATGGTATTGGTTTATGTTTTTAGACGTCAGCAAAATGATAGATAAAGGTTATTAAACATACAATTAATAACATATAATTAAGTTTAAAATGTGATGTTATAAAACTACTAAAGTGATTTTATATATTGTTAAGATAACAACATAATATTAAATATTTGTTTCACAATAATTAATTTATAAGAGACCGTAATGGAGATTTATTTTCAATCGTGGGTAGAATTATAAGAAAATATTTTTGCCCCCAATTAGTCATTTTAACGGTATAATACTATTAAACGATCTGTCTTTTAATTAGCATATAAAATACAATAGGTATGCAATAAGGTCCTTCGCATATTTGGTTGTATACGTGATACGTCGTAACTGCTCAGAATTTAAAAATCTTGATGTCTATATATTCTGCTATCCGCCGTTACCTTATTCTATTTTTTTTTTTAAGAAAACTGACGCTGCGCACTTCTACTTTGTTGGGTTCTATGTCTGCTTTAATAAGAATTTTAAACATATTAGCTTCTCGCTTTGTTATAGGCGAGACACGCTGTAAGGTGATTGAAATACTAATAAAAAAATAATTACGTGTTTTCAAATTTAATTTTACTATTCAGTATATTTACACGCTTCTACTTTGCAAAATTTAATTCTATGATCGGAAATATATAGTATTATTGCAAATTTGTACAGGTATTTACTTACTTAAATGTTTGCTCGGTTATTAATTCTTTTGATATCTGTACCTATTAAAATTCCCTCGATTGTCAGTATTTTCATTTTCTGTTTTATTAATTATCAAAACGTTTCGAGCACGGTTCTGTAGTCTGTACTATAATTATTTGTTTATCAATAATCCCTAGAATTTTTCATTTATGATTTGTGAGAACCTATTATTGTTAATTAGTTTCTAAACAATACAACGTAATGATAAATTAAACGGAGTCTCTGTTATTTAAATAATGGTTGCACGAGAGTTGATTCCCAGGCGTATGTTTACCAGTATTCTAGAGCAGCGTTTCTCAAACCATTCGGTCTCGAAATGTTTTTGATGGGTCTCAATTATTGAGGGCGATTATTTTAACCGTTAATGGATACCTCTATATTGTATAATAATGATGTGAAGTTCAACTAGACAGTATTGTATAATGTATGACATCGATTTTCATTGGATATGAATATATTTTTAGTAATCTTTATATTATTTTATTACGATTATGGAATATTTGTTATCTTATCGGTAAGAATGATAAAATTGATTATAAAAAAAATATTATTTATTTATGACATACTTGATTTTTTTTTTTTAGCAGAGGGTCGCGTACCCAATAAAGATTAAATTTATTGGTCGCCATTGCAAAAATTTTAGGAAACACTGTTCTAAAATATTCGAAGAAATGTATTCAAATCAAAGACCTTATACTCATACCAAGGTCTACGATTAAAAATATTCTTTTTACTTGAATACAATTTTAAACAGTTTTTGAAAAAAGTATTCTGAATAACTTTTTTTTTGTATTTTTGTATTCGCTAAAAATACTTTTTTTGAACTCATATAACAGTTTATTTTATAACAAATTTTTCTTTTAGTAGCCGGATACATGAAAAAAAAATATATGAACAATAATTGTTCTGTTTGAATGAAATAATAGAATATGATAAACCCACGTTAATTCCCAACTATTCCAAAATTGACCAAATTTAGTGAAGTTAAAAATAATTATACCTGCTTTAAAAGTATTCAAATACTCAAAAAGTATGTACTCAGAAAATATCTTTTTAATCGTATTTGGAACACAAAATAAAAGTGTTCTTTATAAGACTGCAGTCAACCTCAATCGAGATCGGGGAAATTAAGAGTTATTACGTATAAGAGTTTATTCTCAAATCCCATTTTGTTGTATCAATGGAAACTAAGGAAAAATATGTATTTAAGAGGGACAACATTTAGTAGTTAATGAAATAAAAAAAGTTAATTTTATTTTAATTAGTAATGATGGCATAATGCATAAAAATAAGACCAATGTCCAAATTTAATAACTAAAAATAAATATCAGGAGCCTTGACATCCAACTCCCCTATTGCGTCTCCTGGACATGAACATTATAATGGCCATGCTTCTGGATAACGCTAATTAGACTGAAGTCCGGAAATCAACGATATAGGCATATAGCCATGGCTTAAATATACAAGGTTATTGCAATAGTACCCCCACTATATCATTTTATCACGTTAAGGAATTAAAATGGCAGCGTAAGGGGACGACGTATACTGGCTATATTATGATATTATATACTATGATATGGACCGTACCCTTACGCTGCCATTTTATTTTTATTTGATAACAATTTGGCTATGTGCAATAACCTTGTATATTTAAGTCATGGATATAGCCATATAGGTACTAGCCAAATGTGCCATATATGTCCCCCCCCCGCAAATGAAATTGGGAATTCATTAATACAAGTGCCCAAGTCTCGGAAATCATTCCTAAATTCTAATCAACTCACCCTCCCAGATTTAAATTAATTTACGAATTTACGATCTTGTTATCTACAGTATTCGACACTAGACTTGAGCTAGCTACAGTCAGTACTCAAAAGGTTTATTGGCAACGGCGTCTAGCTACCATCTCTAGTTCTCTAGATATCATAAAGGTATAGCCCGTATAGGGTAAATATAGGTAGGCACCTAACCTAACCTGGTAATATGTTACCCCTGGCCAAGTTACATAAGTTTATATTTTGTTTTTGTACACAGCGTATAAGAGACAACGCAATATACCAAATCATTGATCAGTAGTTATAAATACTGTGTTTATTGTTTTACTCTATTAAAAATAAATAAATAAATAACTTTAAATATTAGTTATTAGTTATTACACAAACTTTAACTTATACAGACACATGCAATCGTAAAGTCAAACATTTAGTTCCATATTTTTATTTAATAGTTGTAACATAAAATTATACATTAAACATAAAGCAGTATCTAAATAATTATTTTAAACATATATATATGCATGTTATATATATATATATATATATATTAAATAGTATAGTACAAATAGATATATTTATGACTAGATTTGTGTTATGACAAGAATAAATATTTTTCTTATTTACAATCTAAAATGTTTTCATTTTATTTTTACAACTACACACATAGTTTTTTAATGCTAACAATACAATTATTTGTGGTTTTGTTTTGTGTTAATACAGATTATACTAACTGCCTAGTAAATTTATACAGTTGAGCAATTTTGTTTTATGTGGTACAGAGGAACTATAGTTAAGGAAAATGTTAGTCTGTTTGAAAAATAAACATCACAGCCAATTTGTACTCACCAAAATTCAGGCTGCATTTTTGGAACTTTAATTCAAGAGACTTAAACTCAAAACTAACCACCGATTAAATTAGAACTGGCAGTGAATGTAATAAAGCATTAAAAAAAATGTTTAAACTAAAATAAATATTTACAATTTAAATGTCTGTGTTTTTTTATTTTTAATGTTCATACTCTATGTATGCAAAAATTAAAATTAATTTTTATTACAACGAAAAAACTAAATTTATTATAATAATAATATAGTGTAACAGTGTCCACCTCCTCCCCAACCAACTATTTCGTACTTTGAATTTTCGGACAAACTGAAAACAGACTCGTACGTATTGCGCAAACGTTTTGGCATACCTATACTATTATAATATAATATGATAACATTGCCAATAATGATGATTGTAAACTCGGTTAAAAAAATCACAGACACAATATATGTATAAATATAATAATAATATATCATCGTAGAAATAATTAAATACAAACGAGGTGAGGGAAACAAAAATAATAATAATAATAAAAAATAATAATAATGAAGATGAAAAAAACGAACAAAATTGGACAGTACGAATAGATTTTTACACGTGGAAGAATAAAAATATGTATGTATATAGATCGGCGACGGGACGGCGCCCACACTGCCAGCTTAATAATATCATGACGTGTTTCTCGGCCACAACTTCGGACTTCCTCACACACCGTGTCCATCGCCCCTCCACACACACACACACACACACACACACACACATACATCATACATATATATATATATTATATATAGGTGGACTGTGTGTAGGTCGGTCTCCTCAACAGGGATGGCTCAAGTTGTACACGACCGCAAACAGCGTGCAAATGGCGTACACGCCGAGCGCGAACCACCATATCAACTGCTCGTGGAGCTTTTGCTCGAAGTTTTTTAACACCAGCAGACCGATGGTGAGACCGGCCAACGCGCCGGCTATGTGAGCAACGTAGCTGACGGGCGGAGCGTTCGACGATGGTTCGAAGGCGTAACGGCAGTACACTGCGAAACCGACGTCCACGCTGGCTGTGAAGGCACATGAAATAAGAAAAAGTAACATAGGTTATTTGGGTATATTCGAAGAACAAAGGGAGGGGGGAGGTCGGCTGTTGGTAGGACTTATCGACAGTGCACAGTAATAATATTATGGTATTTAATATATATTGTATATTATTATGCCCACAATTATTGAGCTTTAAGAGGACGCTACACTTGTACATTATGTTGTCTCCGTCTTACAAATGTGGAACGTAGCAAAAACTGTTTCGCTCGAAAAAGAACCGAGAGGGCTACAACTAAGTTGTCTTAGTAACAACTAAGAAACCAAATTTTCACCATGAATAGAGGAGAATTTTAACTGTATCGTTACCTTTTTTATTTTTTCGATAAGACTAATATATCAAAAGTTATTAAAGTTTGGAAAACGTACAAATATCAAATTTTTAAAAGCATTAGAACTTTTTTTTTTATTAATTATAATAAACAAATAAAAACGCTATGACACAGAAAATATTATCGTCTATATTATATGTATACTTTTGGTGTCTGTACTATGAATACAGATTGAGTGGTTCTATCTCGCGCAAAACAGTTTTTGTTAATGTTGTACATTTGTAAGACAGAGAAAACACGTGACGTCCTCTTGAATTCTTTATAATATATTATTATACCAACGATGACGTTGTAGGGACCAGTTCATAATTGTATTTTTATTTCGTTCTAAAGGAGTTCTTAAACATTTTTTTTAAACATATATTTTAAGTGAAATTGTTTTGTGGATTTAACAATTAATATATTCTCGTAAAATTTTAGATGTGGGTCACAAAAAATTCATAATATGTACTTAACACATGTGCACGCTTAACCATCGTTAGATAATATATACAACAGTTTTATGCACATCGACGTATAAAAAAATTCTTATTTTTATCCATATTGACTATATAATATAATATAGATAACTTACCGATGAACAGTATGCCAAGCAACCGAAACACACCAAATTCCATGTTGTTGTAATTCTAAAAAAAAAACTTAGATTTATTTGTCGTAACAATTTCCAAATCAAAAATAGCCGAAATACCGAGTTTGAGTATTTACTATTTATACTTAATTTACAAAAAATGGTTTATAGTATTTTATAAAAGTACACCAAATCAGTTTTATTTCGGTACATTTTTGTATATTTTCTTATTTAATATATTTTTATTAGATAAGTTTTAAAAATAATAAAATAAATGATCTTACCAACATAACGTTGGCCAAATGAGCAGCCAATAGAGCATACACTCCACCCGAAGCACCAACAAGATACACGTTACTATCAAAGACCGACGTACCCAAGGAACCTAGAACACAACATCATGATTAAACAAAATGTAATTATTTATTCCAATGGTTTTTGTAAAAGTTGTATGACATTTTATAATATAAAGAACACATAATATGAAGCTCTTTAAGTTGAATACATACCTGCTAACACACCAGCCATGTACACAACCCCTATCCGGAGTGAACCATGCACCATTTCTAATGGAAGACCCACAAGCAATTGAACGGTCAAATTGAATATCAGATGGACCCAACTAAAAATAACAATTACAGTTAAAAACGTACAAACAAATATTTAGGTATAGGTAATACTACTGTTCATTATTCGTATCGAAAAGAAAAATTTTAAGCAAAACTTCAACACTTACCCAACATGTAAGAACATGTACAGCATAAATCTCCACAATTGTTGTCGTTTGTCAGGTCTATATATGAACACACTGTCCATTGGCACAGGAGCGGCGACAGATGCCCATATGTCACCGGGAGCAGGTGTAGAACCCAAAGTTAGAGAGTAGTAATATAGGTAGGTTCCCAACTAAAATAGTGAACAGAAATACCACAAAAATCATAAGACACAATTAAATATTATACAATAAGTATATCGAAAACAATACACGTTGCTTGTACTAGTAAGTTAATCAGGATTTTTTTTAGGCGTTTGGGATACTAACATTTTCAAGTAATTTATGTCCATTACATTTTTTCTTATTATTAATAGGCATTTAAACATTATAATGCAAATTATTATAAATAATACAAACTAATTATTATTTACTACCTAGGTTAATAAAATAAAACAATTTTTAATTAATATTTTTTTACCATGTAGGGAGTCTGAACCTAAATCCACTACTTTCGGCCACTGATTTGTTTATTAGTTATTTGAAAATTATTTATTACTAAATTATTATAGACACTAATATTTTGACCTTCAAAACCGACCTAAACCTTTAAACTTAAAAAATGCTGTTATCAACTTACAAAATAAAACGTTATGTAATTATCTATTATAAATTAATATTTTATTTTATAGATAAATGTTATCCGTGGTTTCTATGATTCAATTATAAAATTATAAATAAATCTATTTTTCTGTCTTCAATAAAAAAAAAATAATAATAAATGAAATTTACAAAATAAATGATAATTTTTAATTAAATTTATATTTCCACTATATTACTTACATAATTATTTCCTTTAAATTTAAAGGAATCTAATTTAATTTGATCTAATTCATTTTTTTATTTGAATGTTTTTTTTTCATATTATTTTAACCTTAATTTATTCAATGCAAACAGTGGAAAATTATGTCATTATTCATCCTCTATTACATTTAAAAATTTAATATTACCTACTGGCTACTCTCACAATATTGTTTTATATTTACGTACACAAATATTATAACAATATTTATGATAAACAAAATACCATCTTTGAATATAAATTAAAAAATATAATTGATTGACATATATAATATTATGTTATAGGTCATACCTCATGCAGGCTGTATGTAAGAACCAAATCCTAAATCAGGTTATTCAATATTTTTAATATTTATAATTTCACTTACAATAATGAACTTCAACATGGTTATAAATACATATTTCTAATTTTGTGTAAGTTTGCTACCTGCAACTAATTGTTAAATTTTAAGCCTAATTTATGGGTACTTTTATATTTTAATGATATTAAGTTAGTAAACTGCAGTATTCCAAAGAATTCAATTTATTTATTTTAATCCAATGAGTCTAGATACTAACGACATCTCCTACATAAGCATTTGTTCATCAGGTAAGGTTTCCGGGTTCAACACCCCCCCCCCTGATTTAACAATTTTAAAGGCTTATTGGAAAACTTTTGTTTAGTTTATAATTATATTGTTTACTTGATTTTTTTTTGAGACCATAGAACACAGGCCCCCTCCCTCCAGCATTTTATTTTAGTTAACCTTTGCTTATGTAATAATAGATAATTGTTTGATTAGTCCCTGCTTTAAAATATGAATTCTGGAAAAAAAGATCAAGGAAAAAAGAACAATTTTTAAAAATTTAAAATATATTAATTGATTATGAAATTTAAAAAAATACATAAATTTGTAATTAGTGTGTAAAGTGATCACTTACGGCGCACCTATTTACATGGCCTTAATATCGGTCCGTATCCCCAATCCCATTAAGAAAAATGTATATTTAATTTAATATTTAAAAATATTGAAATATATTTTTTTAAATATATTTCTTTTGAAAACTCTTGTTGATTTTATTTTATAAAATGATATGAAGAAATTTAAATAAATAATAGTATATCTTTCATTCTTCATCTTTATACCTATAATATAATAATTGCAATATTTTTTTTGATTAGTATATTTAAAATTTTTAAATAATTTGTGCATAGTAACTAGTATGTCACCTCTGTACAGTGTACACACTAATAGAAAATTTACGTATTTATTAAGTTTTCATAATCAATAAATATTTTTTTTAATTGTTTTTTTTCTGTTCTGTTTTTCCATGTTTTTTTTAGTTGGTGTTTTTTTTAACTATTACCCTAAAATAATGTTTGATAATAATGATAAAATAATTTAAAAATTTTAGTCCTGTCACAATTGTAAAAATTACGTTTTAATTGTTAAGCGTAATACATTTTATAACTTTTTATCTTCAGTCATATAAATAACATATTTAAAAATGTATATTTAAACTTAATTCTTTCTATTATAAATAAACGGGAAACGGAGTTCATGAGGAAGTAAGATAATGTTAACCCTAAGCGTTTTTAATGTGCCAAGTTTCTGAAGGCATTGAAATTTGTAGTAGGTACTTGTATATGTATATATTTTTTATTTCGTCCATCGTGGTTTAGCATGAATCGTGAATGTGTAAATTGTAAGTTGCCATGTTATATGGCAAAATTGAAGAACACATAGATTTGTTAGTATTTTATGTTATTATTATTCGGTAATATTTAATTACAAATAATTTACGGTGTTAAATTAGGTAGATATAGGTACTTTAAAGTGTATCTATAAATCAAAATGCATCAGGTAAATGCAATATTATATCTAGGATACCTATGGATACCCTACTGTAATATAATTTGAATACAAAATTAAATCCAGAAATGAAATCATTTTTAGATATTCTATTGTATTCAAACATAGTGTTATTTTAAAACGAACTGCATATGTAACATATATAATATAAATAAAGTTTTTTTTTGGGACAAATCCCAGACTGAATAAGAGCACGTGTCCCTTTTGATTTACAGACGTTTCGATTTCCGGCATTACGTTTCTTGTGGGTGTATTATAGTACTTTTACGACACACAAAAATAGACAGTATATATATTCATACTACGGAATAAGGATTTTATATATTATAGAACTGTTATTATACATGTTACATTGTGTGTATTTTAGAAGGAAATATTTACCAAATAACGTAAATAATTTTATAATTTTATTTATACGTTTTATTATTTTTATAAATAATAGTATGAAATATTACTACTATATTTATTACATTTATTCTTTACTATATAGAGTATACCTATTACCTACCTAATATCCATTTAGAGTTTGATGTTATTGTAAATTGCACATTATTCGGAGGAACTACATATTCTAGTAATATTAAATATTAGTTATTGTTATAAGTTAAGACATGGTACATAATTATGCTATTTCATTTTGACTATTTAAACTAAATTTATATCTGCAGTATATGTAATTATAATTTACAGTTAAATAAACTGTAACGGTTAAATTTAAAGTCTATTATCATCCATTTCCGTGATGCATATTTTTATATACCTACGTATTATATAATAATATAAAGCAACGATAGAACTAATCAAATAATTCTCATCAACGTTTTGGACTGACAAGTTTCTAAGTTTGTGTTTCTAGTTCCACAAAATAACTAATCATAATAATATCAATAACTCACATTTTGTTCGTCAAGTTTTCTTTCTACATGAATACAACCAGCATAAAATAATGTATGTGGCGTTGCATTATTTTGCATGAAATTCGGAATATATATGTAGAAGATATTGCAAGCTGCATAATATATGGAAATAATAAAGGAATTAATCACTCGAAAAATCCGGTGGGGATTATGCCTTTTTAGAAAGGTAGACAGCTGTAAACAGTAAATGGTTTTCTGAAAATAGGAAATAGCCTGGGTCTCGTTTACCCCAAGGGTATAATTTAACTCGCGTTTGACATCTGTTACAATTTCTTTTTCCTTCTTTACTTCTGCTCTCTACACAGGCCACGTGCCACATGGTGTCTAGTACACATAGGTATTAGGTAAACATCGGAAATCATTAATGATGGTTATTTATTAGTATACTATTTTTAATGACGCGCAATTTGTTTTACTAAAGTCTTCAAAAAAAACTACTTCTGCAAATATTATAAAAAAAGTACTTGCTTTATAGAACATTAATATTTCGGTTGTAATAAAAAAATACTCTAATAGTCTAATACTTTTCTAAGTATTAAAATAAATAGTTCATTGTTTATGTGCATACCTAGGTAATGATCAACTAGTATATCTCTATATATACAATATTTTTTTTTTATTAATTAGCTTTTAGTCGGCAACTATGACAGTTCGACAATATTATCAATACATACAAAATATATTATAGTTCTGAAATATTTTAAATAAATCGACTTATATGTAATTCAATTTTACCCAACTGTAAATGCATTTTGTGTGCATAGAGGCCCATCCCTTTTTTATCTACTTTTGTAGAATCTTAAATACCTATAGTACCTACATAATATTATTGTTTTATTTAATTACACTATAAACACGGGTTTCTGCAGTATTTGTGCTTTCACGCCAGATTTATTTAACCCCCAAACCCCTCCCACACAACCACAACATTGACTAATTCCTGGTTATGTTACTGTACATACAATACAATATAAGTATTGAAGTATTAATAATAAAGGATATTAGCAGAATTTATAGCAAACAGATTTCATTTTAAACTTACCTCAAAAATTGTAATGAGTAGTATAAAGAGTGGCGGCGGGCAACAGCGATAGTTGTCTGCATAATATTTCCGATCTCTTTCGTCCGTCAAGAACTCCTCTGCCACAAGACGTACCATTCTATAAAAATAAATATAACATTAATAAATGTAGACGAATGCAAACTTAGAACATATACTATTGTAGTATAATATGAACAAAAAATACAAAAGACAGACAGAAATGATAATCATTACATAAATGATAACGCAAAAGTCATCGATGTGACATAGATTTTGAAGAATGGAAACAAATTAGTTACAGAAAATAATTCAATTAAATAGTCGACAGTTTATCATGATCTAGTAAACTTTGGATTAGAAATTTATTTAATTTACGGCGGTTGCGTTTTAAGGTCGACTGTTAATAGTGTGTTCGTGTTTAATTATAATAGCAAAATATGAACCATCGTAAATCGTTAACTTGGATGATCAATTTTCCTGAGAATATACAAGTGATTTTGCTAATTAATAATTATATTAAAAGTAAAACACATTTATCTGATAATATGGTATTATAAATTACCAACAATATAAAAATATCAGCGATAACGACAACCAAGTAAGCAAAATTATTTTATAGTAGATTTATTCAAAGTGAGCTTATTATACATTTTATTATTTCTTCAATATAATGCTGTTAAATGAATGCATATAAATACAAGATGGATTATGCAAATTATCAGACAAGAGCAATTAATATATATGTACAGATATAGATAGATAGACAGATATATGTATATATTTTTTTTAATACTAAATTTAAACAATTTGCAGAAGGTAGAAAAAATATCAGGTATTACATAACTGAAATGCCTAATAACTAATAATAATTTTACACACAGGTAGTTAGGTAAATGTGTGAGCTTACTTTTGGCGTAACGTTGGTTCTTGGAATATAATATGAAAATCGTTTTCGCTGTTAACTTCTTTGTCCCTGTGATGAATGGCACATTTAAAACTCCGCCTCCTTTTTCCGGACATCTAGAACAAATATTTTAATGAGTACATCTGCTGTTCTGTGTAAAACAATACGTTTTAAAATTAATTTGTATCGTTCAGTGTATTACAAACATAATTTCGTGAGTACATATAGGACCCACATAGGTACCTAATACACTTAGTGATATTATTGTATTGTATCTAATGAAATATTGTAATATAATATGTATTAGGTACTGTATTACTGTACAAGGTATATTATTATTTCATGTTAGAAAATTTACAGTTTTATGTATAATTTGAATTCTTCGGTCACCTTGTGGTTAAAATATGTTCCAAAAAAAAAGGTTTTATTTGTCTTTTATTAGTTCTTACTATCTATAGCCAAACTAATATCCTTGTTATTTTTCAACTTTATCAAGAGTTCTTAAATGCGTAATTAATCATTTTTCGTTAGATTAAATTATTCATTTATAAGTGCAGAAAAAAAGTGCAACGAATAAAATACATCGATGACTAAAAATTATAACATAATATATCAATAATGATTAATATTAGTATATAATTACTACATTAAAAGATTTAATTTCAAGCATAAAAATTAATAGGTACCTAATTAAATATATTTGATTGAAACATTTAGAACGAAATTATTTCCATTTTCCATCCTATAAGTTATAATCACTTATGAATAATCTACTTTAATATTTTACACATTAATAATTTACAATTGACATTCAATATAAGATAATGTTCATTTTTCTTACATACACAGTGATTTATACGGTTTTAACTATATGTCTGTATAGTATATGTTTTTTAATTTCTTTGCGATAGACAAACAACTTTTATGTAATGGGATAATTCGTTGATATGGTACTATAATAATATAGAGCATTGTATTTTTATTTTTATTAATATTATTCAAAATGCCTTTTAACATACATACAAGTATAAGCTGGCTATGTTCCCGGCGCCAGTTTTTTTTTTATTTAGAATTCACAGTAGTGCTTCGAACTGAACAGTAGAGCTGAAGAGGGAAAGGACAAAATCGTTTCGGCACGATTGTCCAGGCTACGAGTCGCATATGAAATGAGGGCCATCTTGCCAAAAGAGAGAAAAATACAAAAATTTTCGTGTGCGTGTGTGTATTTTATGGAACACTTATTATTCTCAAGATTCCCTGGATGAATTACGACCAAGTTATGGAAATATTTCCGTTGTCGGTTCGATTAAGAATATAATAATATGTAGTTTAGGAATGCGGAGAGAGAACGCAAAGAACTATAAACGAATAGCTGGAAAAATATAACCAACGTAAAATAAACAACAGTTCACAATTAAACCCCATTAAGACATATATTATAAAGCTCTACAAGCTTTTAATAATATTAATATTTTTTTTACCTAAATAGTATGTAGTACTTGCATATTACAAATATCACAACAAGGCACCAGTGCAGTCGCTACACGTGTAAAACAGTAAAGTGTAAGTAAAACTTACACTTGTGTTATTTAACAAGAATTGGGCTATTAAAATGTGGAAAGACTCAGCACGTCATCTACAACCAATTCAAAAGGCCCTTAAGAGTTTAGTTTAGAGTGTTTAGACTGTAACATTTACTTAAAGAAGTACTCTGGAGTAATCAAATCTGCTTTCAAATAATTGTCTTTAGGTATTGAAAATATTTATTTATTTTCGAAAATGTATATTGTTTCATCGAGAAAAATATTTAGTTTGGTACAGAATAGTTCAATAGTATTACTTAAAATATTGTGCAGGATTATGCGACAAGAACAGTGGTTTTCGATTTTTTTGTCAAATAGACTACGCAGATCAATGATGACCAAAATGAACAGATTTCTATAGAACTAATTATTTTTACCTATGATTTTCCAAAAACAGCATATTTTTGAAATATTTACTTATAACTTGTAAGCATTACAATATATAGAGGCCGTAGTCCTCCTTCTTGATATTATATTTGTTGCCACTTTAAGCCTTGGACAAGAGTGTTCTAGTATACTATTATAGTAATAGTAATAAGTATAGGTAATAAATATTAACTAATAAATAATAAGTGTATTAAATTTTAAACACTCGTCGATGAAGTGACGTTTGAAATGGAAAAAGTAATACATAAATATTGTCATAGATATAGGTACTATAAAACTATAATAAGTTTATGCCTTGTGAGAACCGGAGATCGTAATTTCATAAATTCTTATTAATAAGGAGCGCCTTCAATTGCCGCCACTCCTCAAGTATGCATTAATAACTCCGGCGTGGTAATTTTTTATGTTCTCGTGGACCGAAGTTAATTATTTGTTGTTAAATAAAGACATCTATATAAAACCTTTTAACCTTATAATTAAATCACACTCATTTAGTTGTCGATATCGATTTACAAACAAACAGTACCGTTATTCAAAACATTTATACCGTTTATTTAAATATCTACCTAGTCTTTAAATAATACAATTTTTTTATTTTAATACTCAATTCAAGTAGATATACATTATAGAAATAGAGTTTGAGTAGTTTAATTTTACGCTCGATTCATCGTATATATAGTATATATAGTCGTAGCGTAGGTAATTCATAAGTTTCGCCTTTGTATTTATATTAACCAAAATATTTTTTAATTAGAGTTCGCTGCGCTTGATTGGCAATATGCTTGAAAAAACCAAAATGCTCCTATGGGAAAAACTCACGAATTATCATCGGTTAAAAAACAAAATTTCTAATTACTGTTTACGGCGAATTGTGTAATACCGAATACACTCTCTCATCACAGGCTTGTCGGTGTCACGGACGGTCATGGGTACATCCTCTAGTTAAGAACGCTAAAAAGTCTCTATGGTGAACAACATATTTTTTCATCGTTCTCATTATTCTTATTATTCACTTGAACGATTACGACTAGATAGGCTAATGACGTAACCCTTCTTGTGCGTATAGGTACGTTAATCAGAGTATTTTCCCGTCGACTTCAATTTGACAATTTGTTACACCCAGTATACAAGAATGACTGAAATTCTGAATATTATAATAAAGCCATATTCTAATATGAACGCATAAACAGCAACAGTGAAACACCTAAACATATTTTGTATTTTACATGTGTCATGCGACTATACGAGTTGATCCATTTAACGGAAGACACTTATTATTTTTAAAATTACTCATGTTTTTGAAAATATTGTTTTTACGTCATTTTAAATTGCTAAAAAAAACATTTTTAATATTTTTATTATTTTTTAAGAATAAAATGCATTTTTAAATTTGTATTCGGAAACTGAATATTATTTGGTGAATCGTATTTAGTTAAGATTTCGGGTATGAAGTTTATAATTTTATAAGTCAAAAAACATAAATTGTACATAACAAGAAATATTATGCTTTTAAATAAGGAATTAAAAAATATATATTCTTATTAAAAGAAGGTAAAAAATAAAATAAAAATGACAACAAATTATAATAGTTTTTTAAATAATTGGTGACTTACTTTAAATGGGTCGCTCGGTCTATTATATAATATATGTATGTCAGTAATGTAATATATATTAGGGAGTAGGTAGTGCAAAAGGGGGAAAGATGGTTTTTTCAAAAACAAATTTGACAAAAATTAGAATCTATTTTATGATGTCCACGACAAATTTGGGTTATTTTTGGAGTTGAAGATTAGACGATGAGCAATGAGTGTCTAGTACGGAAATAGCCAAACAGGAAAATGTAACATTTAATGACATATTTCGAATCGTTAACGGTGTCTTGCATTCGAAATAATCGAATGGTTTGACTAGAGAAATGTTTTTCGTTATTCAAAGTCTAAAAGTTTAAAAATACGATAGTTTTTTTTTTATAATCCAGTGAATTTGAATATAGTATATATAGATAGAATGCAGCACAATGCGCAAGCGGAATTGTATAGTAAAATATATTATTATGCAGGTGTTACTGACTACAGTCAATACATTGCTTTCATAGGTTGGGAATCTAATAAGATGTTACGTATATGATATATATCATATATGCAACGGATAAATAAACACACACAGTGTATATAGGAGTGAATAATACGACTTGGCGAGTCTTCTATCGGATTTATCGGTGGTGTCGGGTGCAGTATGGTAGTGGTGGCGGCGGCGGCAAATCAAAACGACAAGGTCGCGCGTCGTTTTATTATTGATTTTTTCTTTCTTTTTGTTTTGTATTTTTCAACGGTCGAAGAGCACACGACACGTGAGACGAAACGGGTCTGGCCAACTGGCTCGCATACGGCATACGTATATAATAAAATATGTTAAATACATATTTAACATATTTAACAATTACATTTTTTAATTTCTATTATATGTACGTTTACACCGAGATCATACTATTTTCTTACCGTAACTTAATCAGGCCACATTTTGGTAACTACAAAAAATTATTCTAGTATGATTTTGTTTAAATTAAATGATTAAAAAAAATTATTGAATCATTTTAGTTATACGGTAATTTTGTAAATTGTTTTATAAGTGGAATAACTATTTATGTTACAATATGTATAATACGAGGGTGATAAGAACTTGGTTATGTTTTTTAGGTAGTGGAATTAAACAAGTAGTTCTTACTGTTGCCGAATTCAGTTACGGTGTCTAAATACGCACGAGGCTGCCGCATAATCGTCCCCGGCATGCAATACTATTGTACACAATGTATCTATCGCAGAGTATTGTACTACGCATCACAATACCTACCATGATATAAGACCATAATAATATATATGTACCAATCTACAGTAATAATAATATTATATCGAGCAGCTTCCGCCCGGGCGAACGTCCGACGTCCACTGCGGGCGCGCGAGTCCCGTAGCGCCACCGCCGACGCCGTGAGACCGCTCTCCGTGTGTGGCACCGTGTCCGCGTGGCGCTTCCCCACACGCGTTATTTATCAACATATTGTACACAATATCATCGTCGTATACATATATATATATATATTAAATGTACAATATTATAGAGGTATACATAATATATCATTTTTTATTTAT